CGAAATTTCCATAACTAAAATATATGTGATGAAATAATTATGTAGAAAAAACAAATGGTAATAACGCGGATAAAGTATCTCTTCGGGCCCACAACTTCAAGAAATGATGGAATCTAACATCAGTTAACGATAATTGATACTCCCTCCGTCCCCAAATAAATCAATTCCTACAATCCATACTATAGAAAAGATTAACAACACCTACGACTTAAAATGAGCATCTTATGAAAATATATTATATAGTAAATCTAATGATACTAATTTAATATCATAAATCTTAACGGTTTTTTTCTAGAAATTCAATCAAAGTTTAAAAAGTTTGACTTAAGACAACTCTAGAAATCTATTTATTCAGGGACAGAGTGAGTATACAATAGCAATTTATACTTCCTTTTCATCTATGGAGCAGACTCACGGTCATAGTTGCTATTAGGGGTGGGCCCGGGCCAAGGGCAAGTAGGGCCATGGCCCTAGTCAGGCCCAAATTTTTTAGGAGCAGGTCTTCAATTTTTGCCCAACAAGGAATAAACCAGCAAGAAGGGGAGCAGGTAGAGTCACGCCTACACTGCCGTCACATGCTGCTCGCGGCTCTCCCGCCTCCCGCTTGTATATCCGCGTCGCGCTCCGCCTCCCGATCGCATCTCGCTCGCTCATCCGGCGCCGCGTCGCACGTGACACCTAGCCGCTCGGCTCGCCTGGCTTGACCTTTCGCCGCGGCCGTCGCCGTTGCCCTCGCTGCTCCGCAAGCAGACAGGGCCGAGCCTCTCCCCTCGCCCCTCAGCTGCCGCCTGCCGGTCCACGGCCCGCCGCCGCCCTAGGCTAGGCGTGGTGCCTGCACCTGCAGGAGCTCCGCGTCTAAGGATGGCAACGGGTCGGGTTCGGATTGGGTGGAGTCTCCGTGCACCCAAAACCGAAACCCGAAATCAAAACCCGAATCCGCCCCGAAAACCGATTCGGGTGGAAATCCATCACCAAAACCAAACCCGCGGATACCCGAAACCCGAATGGATACCCAAAACCCGCGGATATATATACACATATTCACATGTATAAACAAGAGGCAACAAATAATAAATATTTTCATGAGTCAACTTTAAATAAATTTAATAATCTAAGTAAACAAATTAGTATTAGTATATTATAAAACATGAGTTTTAATTCCAAATGATTTATTTCGGATATCCATTGGATATCCACGGGTGGAAAACCAAACCCGATTGGTTTTGGGGCCCCGAACCCGAAAACCGTGGGTGAAAAACCATCCCCAAACCCAAACCCGCGGATATACACCCCAAACCCGATCCGTTGCCATCCTTATCCGCGTCGCAGCTTTGAACTGTGATTATGTGAAGGTCTTTCTTCTCTTTATTTACAGGAGTTCGAGATTTCAAGTAATCTCTACTAATTTTGATTTTAACTGACAATTTTGAACGTCTGATTACAATTAGATGAAGAGGACCAGGACTTTAGCATCATAGACAATGGTGTTACTATCAGCGTTTCACCACTAAAAATTGGCCCTAGTCTTAGGTAAATCGTGGGTCCGCCACTGGCTGCAGCATGCGCCGCGCGGCGTGCCGCACCAATCTGATCAGACTAAAAAGGTGCAGAACGGCGAGGACATCAGCGATTCAGAGTGAACTCTGAAATGACACAAAGACACTTGGCGAATAAAAGTATACAGATACAATGCTACTATCCAGAAAGGATAACGCAGCATTATACCTGGTTATAATATAAACGCAGCATTATACCTGGTTATAATATAATGCTGCATCAAGCGCAGTTCACAGCTTCATGTTAAAAGCTCACATCTTCTACAGAAAATTAATACAAGGGTAATGTAGACCGGATTTGCGTCTTCCGAATGCTACCGTTAGCAAACAAGCAAAGAAGAAAGCCACCAAAAAAAATCACCAAATCCCTTGTTACACGGTGGTCCATAGGCTTCAGTGTGACGGAGTAGCTTGTTGATTTGTGTTCGTTTCAACGCGCAGACTGTTTTCACGACGGTACATAGACTTTGCGCCCTGAATTTGCACAGAAACTGTTAGTTAAGTACTAAACCCACTGGGCCGGAGACAAGGTGCCATATAAAACATTAATCCAAGGTTCATGGCCCTCGAGCCTCGAGCTCTTTTTGGTCGCAGCAAAAATAGATGGAGCAGCAGAAAACACAAACAAAAACTTACTTGGAATATAGTTCCGAGCTTTTTCAACGCTTTGGCTCGCAACTTCAAGACATCTTTGGAGACCGTGTTATCTCTCAGAACCTGAAATATCAAAGATCATAATTTCTAATTTAATATGCATAGCGGCATGTACATGCAATCTTTGATCCAAGAACTCTAGGGGCACTCAGGACTTACCGCTTGGCAGACGCGTGAAAGTGTCGACTCAATATCAACCACATTAATTTTCCAAAGTGAGCTAAGCATGGCATCTTTTTTCTCCTCAAAACTCTTCATAAGTTGCTCTTCACTGTTCTCACTTCCCTCCATCTTTTTCATCCCTTCTTGAAGTTGTATTAGAGAGATAGCACCTACAAGGGAAACTCATTACCAGCGATGAGACCACAACATGGATTCAACAAAGCACTAAAGGGTGTCCTTGGAAGTACCTGAAGCAGCATTAACCTGTGATTTAATGTGGTGTCCTTTGTCTCTAACCCACTCAGCTATAAACGGTACACCCATATAAATTCTACTTTTCCCAAGTTCTCTTGCTGCTTGTCGCACATAAATATACCCAATAGTGTGAAGCATAGCCTCGCCAAATGCTGAAATTTTTGTTTGAGACAAGTTAAAAACTTGGAAAGCCAATACTGAAATATCATATGTTCAAGGAATAAAATATAGACATCAGAGGACCACCATCACTGCTTGCTACACAAAAAAAGATATTCTTTTCCACACCGGTAAAACCAAATTTCATTACCATGGCAACAAAAATACAGATAGTATCAGTTTAGTAACCACGAAAACATCACCAACACCATAAAATGTATCCATGCAAATGATCACAGAGGGAACATAAGCATGGACAGAAGCTACCACTACTACCAAAAAACTAAGCGAGAAAACGTCTGACCAAAAAAGATCCTGCAAAGCTTAATCGGGTTCCAAACTACACATAAAAAGATATAATCTATTCAAACGAAAGTAAATCTACTGTGTCTACCAGATGGTGAATAAAATCGAAATGAAGTATTTGCAAGACGCAGATGATGCCCTTGAAAAAAATCACACCTTGGTAGTTGTGCACAATAAATACATAATAGCATGATGTACCTGCTTCGGATAAACGCCTAGCTTCAGCACTTGCATAGCTGACAAATTCATCCTTTCTCCCATCTACATATGGTTGAAGTCGGTCCTTCAGGCTCTGAGTAAGCTTTCGTTCTCTTTCTCTTTGTACCTCCTGCACCATAGTAAAGTTAATTAAGTTCAACTTATAATCGGCAATGTGAATACTAAATCGAACAATACCCCGGATGCAATTGATTTAGAAAAAACAGCAGAAAGAACATACTTTTATCTTTTCTTGAACCTTTGCTCTTGCCTCTTGACTGTTTGAGTTTTCCTCAACCTCCACTGAAGCCATAGATGCTAGAGCAAGCTGGCCAACATAATCTTCAAAATAGTCACTTCCAAAAAGCATCCCAAAGACAGCAGCAGGATCCACCATGTTATCCCTGAATGAATTGTAAAACACCTAAGAAAGTAAGAAAACGATTACAGAACAGGCACAAGTAACTTACTTCCCTTTTTTTTGCATAGAAGCATGTGTAGCATTTTTATGAAAAGATTATGTTTCAAAAAGAGTGTTAAGATTGCAACTGAGCTTTTGAACAGCATCCGGTTGTCTGTCCTCCCTAAAACAGGCATTCTTTTATAGCTCGCACATTGTGATGCTATCTGCCCTGTTCACTTGAACTACTTCAGCAGTACTTTTCAGCCAACAAACAGTGTTTTCCTCTCATAACAAATCAGCATAAGCATCAGCATAAGCCAAACCAGATAAATCACTTCAATCTGAATACTCATGAGCAGACTGCCTTTTTACAGAAAACATATACCTAATATTTATCAAATATCAGAAATGACTCATGACTTACTGGGTAATACCCTCCTTTCCATACTTATCATAAGCCTCCTTTTTCCCAGGATCACTTAGGACTTGATAGGCCTCTCCAAGTTCCTGTTAAGATTAAGTGATTTAGTTAAATACTTTTTAGCAGTCAAACCATACAGAGGTGATACTGATTCGTCCCGCAGATTATGCATGTACAATACCAGTCAATAGTTTGGGTATTTAAATCGGAGAAAGATCAAAATCAAACTAGTAAAAAGCAACATCCTATCACATTCAGAAAATGAAGCACCGTGAATATAACACTTTTTAGATGCTAATAACCAAACTCTGTCACATGGGAAACTAAGAATAAATGCTACCCTGCAAAGCTATGGTACCCCTAGAAAAAATCGAAGCAAGCTTTAGAACACGGAACCTTGTCTCCGGTTTGCTTCTATAGTCAAAAGGCCTCAATGTTCGCTGGTTTCAAAGAATTTTATCTTCCGATGGACACATGGCGTTCGAGGGCAGTCAATGGTTATATATACTACATAAATAACGGATCGAACACGGAAAACCTACCTGGAACTTAAGTGCCGCGTCAGGGTTCCCGGGATTCTTGTCCGGATGCACCAGCTTCGCCTGAAGAAAACAGGCACCGAAACAATTGATTGAGAAAGGCGAGTTCAATAGCTACCTATCCGCGTCACAACACGCAACGGAAAACAAGGCCGAGGCGCGAGGAGAGAGTGGGGGTCACCTTGATGTAATACGCCTTCTTGATCTCGGCGGGGGAGGCGTCGACGCTGACCCCCAGGACATCGTAGTAGGCGCTGTCCTTCACCATGGCAGGCAGCTCCTGGATCTCACCGCCGGCAGCTCTCGAAGCTACATGCACCAAGAGACGGGTATTAATGCCGGCGGCAATGGAGGAAGCCGGCGCTAATCGACGGGGAAGAAGGGCCGGATCTTTCCGCCACGAAAGAGAGGGAGAGGTCGATACCGGGGTCGCTAGGGCCTTCTGGAAGCCTCTGGAAGGTTCCCGGGGAAGTGGAGAACCAGAATGGAATAGCCAGATTTGGGGAAATCTATCAAATCTTCTGGGAAGCCAGAGGCAGAGTGGGGGGAGCGGGGAGGGCGGAGGACGGAGAAGTCGTCGGGGTGACGCGCTGTGTGTCCGATGTGGTTGTGCTGCGGAGAACACAGGACAGGTTCGTGAGCTGGGGCCACGCGTCAGTGTCGTCACGTCACGCGGTGGCCACGCGGACATCGGGGAGGGACATGAACGAACGTCGCGAGGATGCGAGCTGTCGGCCGCGGGCCAGGTGATTTTCTGGTTTCTGTGATGTGAATCCTGTGCAGGTGAGTACTGGACGAGATGCACAGGTGGCTTCGTTTGGAACACAATGATGTTTAAGAAATAATACTGTACGTACTAGTACTATAATAGAATAAATTTTTTCCCACATCTTAAAAAAAGTATTTCATTTGCATACCCGGAAGTCCGGAACCCACTAGACGATGGCACCTGAATTAACGATGACCGATATCTTTCGTGATCACCTTTGATTTTATTTTTTATTTTTTGCGTTTGATCACCTTTGAATTTTGATACCGCGTCTGCGATCATCCTAAGTTATTGATTGATGAACAAACAGGCGGAGCCGGTGCATTTGCAAAGGAATCACAGGTGCCATCTCGCAGTACCGGTGGGGAATAACGAAGATCACAAGACAATCCATTGACAAGAGTGGTGGAAGATGTGGATACCGAAGGGTAAGGGTGGCATGGGTTTTAGAGATCGACAATCCTTTAATCTGGCAATGCTAGCAGAGCAGGTTTGGAGGTTTTTAAGTGATCTAGATTCATTATGTGCTAGAGTGCTTAGAGCTCGGTACTATCCGGATGGTAAATTGTTGAATGCCAGGATAAAGAGTGGGAGTTCATACACTTGGCAGAGCATACTAGCTGGGCTCCAATGTTTCAAGCACGGATATATTTGGAGAGTAGGTGATGGTAAGCAGATAAAGATCTAGGAAGATAACTGGATCCCGGGAAGTCATAATCTGAAAATTCAAACGGCTAGGGAAACAACTCGGTGTCCACAGTTGATGAATTGATTAACCCTATAAATTCAACATGGGACGAGGACTTGTTGAAGGCTATCTTTTAGCCGACTGATGTTTATCAAATTTTACAGATCCCTATCCGCTCTGGTAGGGATGACTTGGTGGCTTGGCATTATAATAGAAGTGGTTTGTTCTCGGTGAAATTAGCCTACCATTGTTAATGGGAAAAGCAAGTTTGGGGTGAGAAGTAATCAAGTGCAGGCCAACACTGCATCAAGGAGTCGGCTTTGGAAGAGCTTATGGAAATTAAAAGTACCAACAAAGATTAAGATCTTCAGGTGGCGGGCACTCAAAGGGCTCTTTCCATGCCGTGCCATTCTTGCAAACCGACATGTTGGGGATGCAAGCGGTTGTCCAGTATGTCAGAATGGAGCTGAGGATATTAAACACATGATCTTCACATGTGACCGAGCGAAACAAGTTTGGCGTTCGTTGGGTGTTGAGGAGAAGATACAACGCCTACTGATGACCGACCGTTCAAGCTCGGTAATTCTTGAGGAAGTCTTTACAAGGGATGATCAAGTTCATACTCTTGAGGTGGGTTTAGCGGAGTTAGTCATCACAGTCGACTGGTATATATGGTGGGAGCGTCGACAATTGGTCCATGGAGAGACCGTCCAGCGACTGTAAAGGTCTGCCATGGCTATTGCGGCACTTACCAAGAATTATAAGTTGGCAACGAAGAAAGCTTCAGTTTTAAGGCAGGGGTGGAAAAAACCTCCAGAGGTAAGGTCGTGGTGAATGTTGATGCAGCTTTCGATAAAAATGGTGGATGCGGCAGTGTTGACTCTATTATAAGAGATTGTTCTGGAGGTGTCTTAGCAACAGCCCACAGCTTCGTACCACATCTTGTTGATGCACCGATGGCGGAGGCTTATGCGCTGAAGGAGGGATTGATGTTAGCACAACACATAGGGTGCAACAGATTAATCATCCTGTCGGTGTTTCGGACCGGGGGGTCCTCAACCAACTAATAAATGTGAACTACGTGCCCCTAATCCCGGATGGTGATGCAAAGAGACACAAGGTTTATACTGGTTCAGGCAATTGGTGCCCTATGTCCAGTCTGAGAGATCGATCTTGTATTCCTTGCACCGAAGTGCTTGTAGTAGGGGGTTGCAAGCAGAGTGAGAGAGGGAGCTAGTCCCAGGTCTCGGCGTAGAGCGGTGCAGGCTGCTTGAGACATTGCTCTCAGGCAGCTTGGGAGAGTGTGTGTCTACGTGAGCCTATCTCCATGAGCTCGTGAGTGCCTCGCCCCCCCTAAGAACGGCCCCGGTCTCCCCTTTTATAGTTGAAGGAGGGACAGGGGTGATACATGTGTTCGCCATGCGGCGAGCGGAGGTGACGTGCCGGAGTCCTATAGCTTACTCTTTGTGCTTGGCATGGTCAGCGGAGTGGTCTTGTCCTTGATGTCTTTGGAGCAACGCGCTTGGTCACACCGATCTCGTATGGCGTGGGCGCTCGGTGTGACTTGACATGTGGTATGGCCGACGATGTCTTTGGTCGCTATGGGTTGTGGTGAAAAGAGTCGAGGCTCGATTGGTGCCGAGGCCAAGCCATCGTGGGGGGGCTCGGTGGGCACAAATCCAAAATTGCCGAGACACGGAAGTGGATTGCCGAGGCCTTAGAGGGAGCAGTTGCTCTCATGCACCGATTCCGAGGCTATGAGTGACCCGTGCTCGCTTCCCCACGCTGCGTCTTTGCTCTGGGAGAGAATTAGGTAAGCACAGTGCGGTACTGGGCGCCGAGCATAGGGCGATCTTGAAAGCACGATGGCGATAACCCTGCCCCGCCCCGCTCATCTCACATCCGTCGGCCACCCTGTATCATCTGCGCCCACGTCTGGGTGGCGTCGCGAGGAGTGGTTGGACGCGTGACGTTTTGTCAGAGAAGTCGATCGAGGCAGAGGCGACGAGGTTGTTGCCGAGCCAGCCTCGAGCGAGTCGGAGAATTAGTACTTCGTCCGAGGCTTCACTCGCGGGGCCTCGGGCGAATCAGAGAATCGGTAACCCGTCCGAGGCCTTGCGGAGCAGGGCCTCGGCACGAAAGGGCATCGGTGAGGCAGAGAGTCGTTGCAACGCGGGCTTTAGGCGAGTCAGAGAATCGGCCGAGACCCTGTCGTTGTCCTTTGGCTTTGATATTTGCGAGGTTTTAAGCAATCTTTTTGGTTCTTGCTTAGGGTACCCCTTTTTATGGTACCCGACAGTAGCCCCCGAGCCTCGGGGGGAGTGTGAGCACTTTCCCTGAGGGTTTGTCGAGACTTGGCTTGCAGCTGCTCCCATCGGGATTGTGTTTTGTTTTTTGAGGTTCCGTTGGAGTGTGGCACCCGGCCGTGTGTAGCCCCAAGGCCTGGGAGGTGGATTTACCCTCCAGGGGCTTTGTTCCTGTTGAGCGAGGAATTTTATCACGTTTGCCGGGCACATGAGGGCGAGTTCGAGTCGCTGGGACTTGGCCTAGTTGCAGGAAAAGCCCTCGAGCCTCTGCACGGAGCGGGAGGGCGATCAGTGGTTTCCCTGTCTTTTTTGGTGGCCCTCGCGCATCCTTTTAGTTTGGAAGGAGGGGTGGAACATGTCAGGCTACCCTTGGTGGGCGCGAGCAGTAACATCTCCGGTGAGCTATTATCGGGTAGTCCAAGTGGAGGCCCGTGCCCCTATTCGATAGGGGTCGGCTTGCGGTCCAGAGACGCACTCCAAAAGTTCCAGAGGTCTTCTCTAGTGGGTCCCAGGGCCGTTCGATTGGCCCCGGGGGCTCGGTGCCTCCCTACGGTGGGATCCCATTCGGAGACTTCCCTGCTGGTCTTGGACATGACTTAGGGCTTTCTAAGCATTTGCTTGCTTGGGCTTTTGGCCATGTTCGGGCTTGCCCACAATCATCCCTAACTCTATTGTCCCAGGGTAATTGCCGAAACCTTTGGGGGGCCGACCTTGAACCTGGACCGTGTGGCTCGATGCCCTTTTTGTCGCGTTTTTGAATCTCGAAAGTCTGAGCTTGGGTGGCTTGCTTTCATTTTGGGTGCGGGAAGAGCCCTCGAGCCTCCGCCTGACGGAGCGAGAGAGGGCGATCAGGAGTTCCCCTGGCTTTTTAGGCGACCCTCGCGCATCCTTTTCGTTCGGAAGGAGGGGTTGTTTGCCGAGCCCATCGAGTACGAGCTGGGTCATTGTGTCTCGGCAAGTTTGTAGGGAGAGCCCCGAGCCTCCACCACAGGAGAGAGAGAGGCGATCGGGAGTTCCCCGGCTTTTTATATGACCCTCGCGCATCCTTTTCGTTCGGAAGGAGGGTTGTTTGCCGAGCCCATCGAGTGCGAGCCTGGCGGCATTGGTCTCGGCAAGTTTGCGAGGAGAGCCCCGAGCCTCCACACGGAGGCGAGAGGGCGATCGGGAGTTCCCCAGCTTTTTATGCGACCCTCGCGCATCCTTTTCGTTTGGAAGGAGGGGGTTTTGCGAGCCCATCGAGTGCGAGCATGGGTCTCTGGGTCTCAGCAAGTTTGCAGGAAGAGCCCCTGAGCCTCCACACGGAGCGAGAGGACGATTAGGAGTTCCCCTGGCTTTTTATGCAACCCTCGCGCATCCTTTTCGTTCGGAAGGAGGGTTGTTTCTGAGCCCATCGAGTGCGAGCCTGGGTCATTTGGGTCTCAGCAAGTTTGTAGGAAAAGCCCCGAGCCTCCTTGACGGATCGGGAGGGCGATCGGGGAGTTCTCTGGCTTTTATGTGACCCTCGTGCATCCTTTTTGTTTCGGAAGGAGGGTGGAATATGTCGGGCTACCTTCGGTGGGCGGTGGCAGTGACACTTCCGGTGAGTGTTATCGGGTAAGTCCGAGTGGAGGCCAATGCCCCCCATTCGATAGGGGTTGACTTGCGGTCTAGAGCGCACTCCAAAAGTACCAGAGGGCTTCTCTAGTGGGTCCTGGGGCCGTTCGATTGGCCCCAGGGGCTCGGCGCCTCCCTACGGTGGGATCCCATTCGGAGACTTCCCTGCCGGTCTCGAACACGACTTAGGGCATCTCGAGCGATCGCTTGCTCGGGCCTCGACCATGTACGGGCTCGCCCATAGTTGTCCCTGACTCTGTTCGTCCTGGGCGGTATTGCCGAGACCTTTGGGGGCTCGACCTTGAACCCCCGGACCGTGAATGTGGGCTCGGCGCCTAGTTCCTTAGTTTGGAAGGAATCGGCTAGGGGAATATTCCCCTCCCATCGGCTAACAACGGCAGGCGTGCCTTTTGAGGCGGTTTCTCAGGGCTTGTTGTTGCTGTAGTTGGATGCGACGCGGTGTCAGCGGACAGGA